TCTCTCTCCGATACGTGAAACAGTAAATTAAGCTTCAATATAAGTATAAGAAATTGATCATATGACTCAAGTATGTTTGTGTTTAAATGTGTTAAGTGTATAATAATTTTTGAATATATGTGTGTGTGTATGTATTGTATATATGTAGGCATTCAAAGAAATCAGTGAAAACCTTTAATTATCGGCTCCATTTAATAAATTATACTAAAAAATAATTATCTTGGAAAAAATTTTTTTACCAAGATGGACGAAAATGGTATCTTATAGCGAGGTCAAGACTTCGTAAAAACATTGAAAAAAAAAGTAGAAAAAACATTGTATTCAGCTACGTTCTTTTCAGAGTTCGTTAGCAGGTAACTGAAAACCTCATTTGTAGGGGTAGAAATGGCTCAATTAAATCCTGGTTGGCTTAATTTCAAAAAATCTGCATCTTGCTTCACGTTCCGCACGTACTTTCTCTAATGAATTTATAACGTTACCTCGTGCTCCTCGTATTAGATACCTCATTTTATCGTTAATTTCACTCTTTATATCCTCTGCATTTATTATTGATTTAAAAAAATATTATTTCTTAGCATACGTAATTGCTATAATTGCTCTTTTCAATTTATTAAAAACGCAGCATAATTTTTGATAATTTTCGTTTGATAGTGATTAATTTTAAATAAAATTAATAGATGATGTTTTATTTCGAATCATTAAAGAAATGATTTAAAAATTATTTCATTTAATTTAAATTTATATTCAAAAAGATACATTTATGAAAAAATTAATGAATGTAATTTGTGAATATATTTTTACCAATGTACGAAACTTTGATAAAATTATTTTTTATAATTGAATATTATTACGGGATAAAAGGAATTACTGCACGAAAAATAATTATTATGATAATAATATAATTCTATTGTAATTATAAAAAATATATGAAAATATCTGATATCATTTTAAAAAATCAAATTTCATAATCTGATTAATGAATGATTCATAAGTATTTTCGTAGAAACTTTGAAGATATCAAAATTGAACAGCGATCTTTTGCATTAACTATTCGTGTTTGATCCAGTTTCAATTCTTTCAGCAATTCAATTTCAAGTATATTGAAATTCAATGTAATTCCTTTAAATTCATTTCTTAGTAACCATTGGTTCATGAAATTCATATTTATTAGTTGAAACTTTGTTCCTAGAGCATAAAAATTATCTAATATCAATTGAAAGTATTAAGCAAAACTACAAGTAATTTCCAATAATTCTTATTTGTAATTTAAAAATTTATATAAATTATGCACTATACATATATTACTATAAAAATGATTACTCAAAAAATGTCGAAGAAAACAAGTTTACTATTTTATAAGTAAAAAAAAAAATGATAATTTTCAAACATGATAAAAATTTTTGTAGAACATTAAATTTGTTTATATTCTAGGCATCAACTAATTATTATTTACATTAAGTTTTTTTTTTAAAACTATTGGACGGAGGATTCTTTTTAGAAAGGTTCGACTCTTTATCCTCTTGAAATATTATTAAGAAAGATATATTACCCTGGTTGCAGGATTTTTAAGAGAAACGACTATATTTGCTTATCTTAAACATTTATTATGTCTATATCGAAAAAAATTTAATAAATATTAGAAAATATTAGAAAAATACATTTAGAGAAAAATTGGAAATTACTTCTTAGCTCACCCAATTCCAAAGGTACAAAGCTTAATAGTTGATTACAATCTAAAAAGCATTAGAAAGAAAAATTAACTACAAATTCTCAAATTGAAGACAATTATTACGGGATTGTAATGTTCAGGTACGAATATATATATTATTATAATAGGATGTAATATTATAAGTTTATATATATATATATATTTATATGAACTTTCTTTTATATATATATATATTTTTTTTTTATGTTTTAAAATCTAATTCTATTTTTGAAATATTTAAATTTCTCTAATCAATTCAATTTCCTGTAATTTATCAAACTTATTAAGCAAACTAAATATTCATTAATATCAAATTACTAGATATTATTAGACATAATCTATTATTAACTTCTAATAATTAACTTCTCTGTTTTATACAACATATAATATTATAATGTATGCAAAAATCTCTAAATAAAATAGGAAGTAAATTCCAATAATTTATATTCAATTACTTTATATGTGAAGCATATAAATTTTTATGAATTTAATTACTTTATAGATTTTATTCTAGAAATGAAATAAAAATATTTGCATAAAGTATATATGCAAATTGTTTAAAATATAATATGTATTATAAAATTGAAAGAAAATCTTGAAACACAATTTTAAAAATAAATATAAAATAGTTTTCAATAGTATAATAATAAATAAAATCTCATACTTTTCAAATTAATATAATAATATCAACAAGCTTTATTAAGTAAAAATAAAATGATATTAATATACTTTTTTTTTATCTAGTAATTAATTCGATCATCTAATAAAAATTTATTTTTTAATATCAATAAAAACAATTAATATCCACTCAAAATATAAATATATAAATAATAATTCGAGAAATTGAAATTCCAATTTAGATTCGAAACTTAACACCTACAAATTTAACTATTAAAGCTTCATAGAAGTTCTCTAAACACCATAACACCAAATATATTCGAGATCCAACAAATCAAAATACGCCAGATTCGAGTACACAAGGTGTACTGTAATCTATTATACGAACCATCTCTTTCCACGTTTATCCATTCATGAAACTCGATGTTTAACTACGTATAAACTACCGACTATCCATGGAACTTCTCAAGTTCCGATGCGATTCCAGTCCAAATCATTCTCGATTATTGTTCAAAAGACTAGGCGCGTAATATGAGACTAAATACCGAAATGAAACCTTCATTTTATCGATGAATAAAGACTAGAAAATTTCAATACTAAAATATTTATTATATATATTTCTTCTCTTTATTCAAATATTAGATTAAGTAATATTTTGTCTGCATTTCTTTAAAAATTTGAAAATGTTATATAAAATTTATTTAATTAATTATTTTTTTGCGCAATTAATATATTAGATAATTAATTAATTTATTTTTTGTTTTAAGTAAATCCAATGAAAGAAATTAATAATAATTTTAATAATTTTGTAATAATTTTTATCTAATATAAATATGTAATCTGATTTGTATATTTATTCACAGTAGTTGATATTAATAACATTCTAGAAAAGAAACAACTGATTACTTAATCTAATATTATACAATTCACAGGATAAAAAAAAAATGGGAATATAAATTGGCTAGAAATAATTTGTACATACTTTCTCAGTAATAAATTTCTAAAAAGCACGTTTGTTTATCAGAATTCACCTATTTAAAATGAAATTTTTTATTTAATCTCAAGTTAGATGGCAAGTAGTTAGATGGCATTTTGTTATTTAAACTCACCCTATATAGGCGAACAACAGACTAACTCAAACAACTGGCTAACTGAATACCAAGGAATTAATTTCTATCATCACAGTGACATGAAATAGGTCTGAAATAGGTTCTAATATTCTAATATTGTTTATAAAGCAATGAGTCTATCTATACAAACTATAAATAGCTTTCTTCTAATTAAAGAATTTACAGATTGAACTATGTATTATTTTATTTTTATATTTCTAATTATATAGTAAAATGGACATTAGACAAAGAAGAAATTTTATTCGATTAAATTTATTTAAGTTTTCAAAGTTATATTTGAAAATTAATTAAATTAATCTTTGTATTTTGTAATATCACATTATAAAATTCTATATTTTTTCATAACGATGAAATGAATTCTAATCTAATATACTATTTCACATTTTAATATTAAGAAAAATATTTAAATTTAATAATCAAAATCTAATGTTGGCACTGCATCAATAATTTTAATATAAGTTTCCATAAAGAAATAAAAAGACTATAATTTTTTGTAAATTCGTAACAAAAACTGAAACATATTCAATATTCACATGTTCGATGATTATAATTATTATCATATACAAAAAAAATTCCAATAATTGAATATAAACTTTCTGATATATTTTTGGAATAAATAATGTATATGTATAGCTAATAATAATTATGCATTTGTTATAAGTAGTTTATGTATTCCATTAATAAATCTTTATCGAGATTGCTAATGAAAAATTTATAAATCTTCTTGCAATATATCCTTTGATGAACGATAAAGTTAAATGATATTTTCACATGAATATTACTTAATTTCGTTTAAATTTCCATATTTCCAATAATTAAAATAATTTATAAGTACCATCTGAAAATTAAAAAATTTTACAAGTATTAAACTTAATATTGATAACGATTCTTGATGCAAAATTATATATTTTCATATGAAAATGAAATATCATTCAATATTAAAAAAATCAATCAACGAAAATAGAAGAACCTGACGAAAAACTTTATATATAAAACGAAAAAGAAAAAGAAACACACCAATATATAATAAAATATGATAAAGCATATTTTACTTATTTTCACTATATTTTCAAGATTATAAGATATCATCTAATTTTAACTAGTGCTCTATCACGAAATATTTTAATATTTTCCAAACGATTGTAATTTAAAGCCAGAAAAAAGATCACTACAGAAAAATTATTCGATGAAACACAACACAAAATCTATTTCTATTAGAAAGAATATCAGAAGAACTATTGAATCAATCTATCGAATCAATCGAATTATTTATCAAAGACTCTTTGAATTTAAGATTTTCGTGATCTGAGAGCTGATAAAGGGTTAAGTCGTCGTCTAGGTGTACTGTCGGTCGAAGAAGAGCCACTTTTATTTTTAGAAGACTTGGATTTACTTTTCTCTTTTGCGTTGGTAGCCGTGGAGGTTTTCACTGATTTCCCGGATTTGATCGCGGCAGTGGCCGAGCTGGTACTCGACACTGCCGTGGCCACGGATTTATTAGTTGTACTTGGATTCTGGGACTGGGTTTGGGTTTTAGGGCTTACTTGTACCTCACAGGGGGGTGGCGCGCTCCTGTACGATGGCACGATTTTGAACGTCACCGAACCTCGTGCTTCCCGCTGAAACAGAAAGTCGAATTGTTAATATTTGAAGACGTAATCGCGTTTGAAGAAGTGTTATACAAATATCCAAAAGAATGATTTTTTTCAAACCAAAGTGAAAGAAAAATTTTAAACATAACTTTCTACTAATTATCTGAATAAATGTAGATCAATTCAAGCAGAATAATTCTTTAAAAAAGAAAAAATTAAACTGTATTAAAAATAAAAAATAAATAAATTTAGCTATAACATCAAAGATAATGATTTTTAATTGATCATTAGTACACTGCATATATATCATTCTTTTGTATAAGTCACTGAATATTTAGTATGAAACAAAGAGCTGCGTATCTAGTATGGATTAATGTCAGATTCGATGTCAAATCTCCGAAACTAGCGATAAACTTGATGTATATATCAAAATGACAGAAGATTATATAACAGAATCGGAAATCAGGACAGATTTTCTGTGATATCGATCTGATCGTAGAATTTTATGTATTCGTAAGATTTTATACATTCATGTTTGTATGTATATGTATGTTTGCATTTATCTTAAAAGATTATTTTCAATATGAATGATGAATATAAATATTATATAATTATTTTAATATTAAAATTATAAAATAAATGACTAAAGAATATAGCTTATAAAATATTCTATTATTTTATAAATTACTTATTATTTTAAATGTTGCAGAACGAAAAAAATAATACATCAATTTTGAATAAATTAAAAAAAAAATGAATTTTATTATTTTGTATTATACCTATTATTGCATTCTTCTTTATATAATTTCATTTTATATCATTCGATAAAATAAGATATTGTTATAAGATTCATTATATATTTATGTATTCTTCAGAAAAAGAAAACAAAACAATTGTAAAACATGTGATGTTATTCAAATACCTAGTATCGCATATCAATCAATAATATTTCACACAATATCTGTGATTTGATCTAATTGTACTCACGAGTATCTTTTGCAAGGCATTGACAGATTGATTGGCCACCGGTATCCCATTAATTTCTCTGATCTCGTCACCCACGTGAAGGGTCGCTTGTCTGTGTATCATACCACCGTGCATAATTCGTGCTACCACACATTTTCCATCTTCGTTCATTTTTAAAGTGATTCCCTGCAACCAAACAAGTAATGCTAACATTTATTGTCTTTCCTTCAACGTGTTTTCTTTTTATACAGAAGAAAAATTTTATTTGTATAAAAGATAATAAATTTTAAAAATTTGATAATCTCACTTCTCAAATTTAATCATATTAATATTTTCGTATTTTCGAATTTAGATTATATCATATTTATTAATTTAATTTTTCATAATTTATAATAAATTTCCAAAGAAAATTTTCAAAGGATATTTTCTTCCATAAATTTCATACATCTTTAAAATATTATTTATGAAATTTAATCTTTAATTATCTGACTTACCTGACACATTATGTATTTAATTTACGCAATTATACTATAAAAATTATACTATATATGTATGATACATATTATTTTCTTACCATTGGCTCATCCGTGTTCTTTTGGAATTGGACCAGCCTGACGCGCGTTACATTTTCGAGGTCCAAATCACCGTTCTGTCCCTCGAGATCGTCGCCTCCGTTTAGATAAGGGAGAAGAGGAGGTGGCGTAACTCTGGTGGCTTCTTCGCCATAAACTTCATGTCCCGCTACGTCATGTGCTTGCAAAAGCGCCTGGAACAGAAGATCAAACGAAAGAAATTAAATACCAGTCAAACACCAGCTGGCATGGAGCAGGAATAAAACAACAAACCGTCACGATGTTTTGCTATCATGGATGCAATATTGCGTGTCGCTTGAATAGCACCTACTATCCGTAAATACGCCAACACTTTTGTTTTTTCGTTCACAGAATTTCAGGATATTGCTGTCTGCCATCACTTTTTCTTTTTTTTCTTTTTTATGAAGCCGATAAGAGCAGTATATTTTTATAAATCGCGTATAAAAAAAAAACAAATACTTTCCAAAGTTTGATAAAAGAAAAATTTCAAATCATATATTCAAGATTACTAAAGAAATCAAATAATTAAGAAATTAATTATTTGATATACTTTTATATTTTAAAGAATTTTTCTTATTATATTTCTATTTTAAAAAGACATAATTTTTATATAAATTGTCGATTTTTATAAAACTTATGTATGATATAGTTCTCGAAAAAATTTTTATATTCCTTATCTATGTTATTCTTTTGTTTCAACACTAACCACAAAAGCCATCATGAAAAGAAATTGTGTTAAAACATTTCCTTAGAAATTTCATTCGTAATAGCCTTTGAGGGATGTTAGTACATAATGAAGAAATAAATGTTCTTTTGTTTACTTAGAAAGCTTTATAGAAAATTTTTATGGAAAAATTTATTTCTTACAAAATGAAAGCCTCTTGTTCCATTTAATTTAAAAAAAAAAAAAAACAAATGCAGTCTCCATTTGCAGTGATTTCATAGAAAACAATATTTAACGCTTTATTTGGCCCAGTGAATTGAAAATTGTATACAAATCGCACATTGCATGATTTTGACATGTGTAAAGAACACGAAGTGGTGACTTCGACATGAAAAAACAAAACATTAAGCAAATTTGTTAAAAATAAATTTACAGTCTCGTATTTAACGGCAGCAGTTGGAGACATACAGATGGAATAATTGAAGTACGTAAATAGTTGTACAACGAAGCGTTGAAACATTGTGTTACGATCACTTTTACATACTTCACGAACTGAATGTTGAAAACACGTGCAATTTTTTACGGTGCATAGAACATTCGTTGAATTTATAACGCGAAACTGTTTGGAATCACAATTTATGCAACACGTGGCGTATGAAACGATTAAGAAATAAGTTCACCATGTATATAATTTCGCGCCATGAAATGTGATTAATATTTCCAAATGATAACGCGCCATAATGTCGAAAAATAAATCGCTTTGTCACATGAAAAAAAAAGTAATTACAAAGAAAGCGAGTGAAATGAAATCGTACTACTTGTCAATATATTTTATTTTCATTGAAAGATACTTAGAACTGTGTATAATAACGTCAATAGAAATAATTGATATTTCATTTAATATCTTTAATAGCTTATATAAGATCAGACTATTAAAAATTGCATTGATAACAATATTATAAATTTGTCGAGCAATAATCACAATCCATAAATAATATGATAAACTTTAAATCTATTATACATATACAGATAAATATAACGTTATTGGTAGAGAGCATTCAATTCGCAATATTTGCATAAATTCATAAAAACTAATCAACGAATCTATTATCTATAAATAAATGCAACATTATTCGCAAGTTCAATCAATTCAAAATGCTGGATATACCATCCTCATATGAAATTCATACAGAAAATAACTCTTTGGAAGACCGACCAGCATTGAAAATATAGATAAATAGGAAGATATGATTTTTCTATCATCGATTTCCACCGACACATTCAATGGCCTCTCCGCTCCCTTTTCAAACTAGGTAATGATAGAAGAGTCACGTCGGTAGGTTCGAAAAGTGAAGGAAGAATAAGAAAAAAGAGAAATAAAGCAGAAGTGAAGATTCGATTCTTGACGCTGCAATACGATATATAGCATGAAATACTAGGTTCTATGTTGGAATAATTCGTTGGAATAGTGCCAGTGTCTGAAGAGATCGATCTCTAAAATGGCCGCGTTTGAAATTCCCGCGTTCACCACTAAGTAAAGCAAAAATTTATACTATGATATTATGATATGATCTTCGACATGTTCGACGTTATTATCAAATCATTAGCATGAATTACGTCACAACAGTGACAGTAAAATTAGTATTGTAACATAATATTAAGACTAACTAAGAATAAGGCTTTAATCTAATATTTTCTTGACAACGAACGCGTCGAAGGAAATGCCACGCGTAAGAGCGAATATAGATGGAAATACGAGTGCACGAGGCACGTATGTGCGTCTGGAACCAGTTTCGCTTGAAATCGGGCCAAAATCGTCACACGATTCCCCCATTGATAGCCACGCCACGTTTCTATTTCCCTCTCAAGCCGTGTACATCCGTCTAATCTATATGTAAATCCTCGTTCCCGGTAAGAGGATGTGTGTGCGTGTGTGTAACGCGCGAAAGTGTACGGATATCGGTACAATTTTAACCATAATTTTCGGAAGCGACCGGACTCGCCAGATACCGGCACTAGGAAATGGACGAGGGCGCGCTCGGATGGAAACTTTTCCTTTATCGAATATTTTGTTCGCGAATGTTGTCATGTGTTTATCGCAAAAATAATAGCGCGGGAGGGTAATTCGATATCTCGTGGACAACGCGGATTTTATTTCTCCATGTTTGCATGGAAATTTTTTTTTTTTTCGTGAGTTATTAAAATTGAAGTGGCTCGATGGTTTTTTTTTTTTTTAATTTTTATGGTTTTTTTTTTGAGATAATTTTAGAGTTATAATAGATTGTTATGAACTTAATATGAGATTTTTTTATATATTACGATTTATTGGTGTAAAAGTTTGATTTGCATATTAGTTACTTGTTTGAATTTCTTAAAACATCGAAGTTAATAAATGAAATCGATGTGAAATGATCCTAGGATACTCTATTTTGCAAATTTATATATATATAAATTTATATAATTATAATTAAGTTTATAGTTTAGTTCATTCATAATATCAAAGAATAAAATATTTAAAAAAAAGAATTTTTTCATATAACTATATTGAAAATTTGATTTAATGATTAACAAGAGAAAGATTTTTATTTTGATATAATTTTATATAATCTCTTATATTATTTCTTCAAGATAGAATAAAAGAAGATAAAAATTTTTAGTTCGCCTTTATATAATTTCTCTCTAACAATTAAAAATATTTTTAATTGATAGAGTCTTTTTTCAACAATACATTCTATTATATAAATATTATTGGTATATTTCCACTAAATTTTCAAATGGGAGGAAAAAAGGTAGATATATCAAAAATGTGAAATAAAATCTTCTCACAAAGCTTTGTGTTAAAAACTCCATTTTGAAATGATGTTAAGTAAAATTGGATACTGTTATAAAAAATATACAAATCAACTTTATAAAAAGAATATTATGTCACAGGATGGTAAAGACAAAGTAAATTCGACAGTAACGCTGAAATGAAAAAAGGAAAAAGAGAAAAAGAAAGGAAATTGTGTTTCACTCGGGTTTTATCAGTGAATTTACCAATAAGATTTCTTATCAGAAATTTTATAAATAAAAAAAACAATAGATCAGGTTAGAAAATGAGTATAATTTTTAGCAAACATAGAAATTATTAAAATAAGAATTTTTAAAAATCATTATATCAATTTAAATTCATCTGATGGAAAATTATCATAAAAATTCCAATTTATAATATTTATTTAACAACAAATTTGAATGCTATTTGTTTATAAATAAGTAAAGTCATTTTTATTAAATAAATCTTAAGAAAAAAATCACAGTTTAGATTTTAAAAATATTATTTTTTCAATATATGCACTTACATTGTCTCGAAATAGCCATTTTCGCAAGAACGATACCAAATATTCAAAACGAAATTTCCCAAGATACTGCCAGTAAAATATTCGTGTGAAAAATTCAATTGCATTCCTTTATTTATACTTTTATTTTTTCGTGCAACATTTCTGTTTAATAATTAAAATCAGAGATAGAACAGAAAATAGGAATTTTCGTATTGTCGATTTCGATAATGCTTATTCGCTGTGATATTAATGCCATTAATCACGTTATCTCTATTGGCTATTCATTAATTAATATTCACTTAATCGTTAGGAAAGCAAAGTTTATTATGTAAGCGTTTTGCAAGCTTGATAAATAACAAAATGAAAGCTATAAAATAAATCACAACTCGATTCAATCAAATTGAAAATGAAACCTTTATCAATTTCTCTGAAAATTAATATTTCTTTCTATCTATGAAACAAATTTCAGTTTCCTAACTTTTTTTTTCCTAACTTCCTGCGATATAAATAAAATAATAAACGTGAAACGAATATAGGAAAGTAACTTGTAAATTTTATCAAAAGAAGATATATCTCAAAATGATAAATATTTATATAATATAAAATCTATCTAATGAAAAAGTTGTTAAAAATTGCATTCTGAAATAATATTTTTCACTTGTTCAATAGAAATGATGATTCATATATTTCTGCAATTAATTATACATTATAAATTGCATAAAATTATTAAACTTTTTCAATGATACAAATACAGTTACAATTATTTTATCATTACAATCACATTACATACATTACATAGTGAAATTTATTTTCGATTGGACAAATACTTATGTATTAATTATAACATTAATATGAGTAAAATATTCACGAGAAAGAATATTCTTATGCATAATAATTTTAATCATTAAATTGGTGTATTTCAAAGAAATCATAATTATATTATTATTATAAATATTAAATACATTTAAATTATATATACTTTTTTTATGATTTGAATAATACATGTTTGATAACGCTGAAGATATAATTCTAGAAATTACCAGAGAATTTTTTTTCTGAAATATTAATTTCAAGATGCGGTGACACTGACTGACTTGCAAGAGATCTCAACTTTGCTCCACTTGACTTTTGCTTATGCAACTTCTTTAAACACCCTGCTTACAGAAACTCAACTAGTCCGCTCCAGTTGAAG